TGTGAGTCAAAATAAATCTTTCTTCCTTCAATTTCAGTTGTTGCGTATTTTGCCTCAGCAATGAGAAAAGCAATTAAGACAAAAGGTATGGTCACAAAAAGCCCAGATCTGAGAGAATATAATTCCTAAAAAGAAAAATAACCAGTTTCTAGAAATTCCAGAACAAGAAATTGAGTCATTGCAAAACTCAAAATTGAATTAAACTGAATGCTTGTGAAGTTTAAAAAAAAAAAAAAAGTGATTCCATAAAAGCCAGAAGACTTACTATAAACAAGTTGAACAAATTAACTGAATTTCTATTTTAACAGGTTTACTCATTGTAGGTAAGAACCCTGTAGGTATATTATAATTTAATCATAGGAAGGCACCTGATAAAATCTTTCAGGGTACCCATACAAACAAAGTGTCACATGGGCCTGCCAATAATAGGCAGAACTAATAGTTACTGAACAACTATAAAGCATGTTAATAGATTGGTGTTAACTTGAAAGGAGTCTAGTTGAACTGCATACTTGAGAGTAATTTATTCTGTCATTTTACTATTTTTATCAACAATTTGAATGTAGATCTACCTACCAAATATGAAAATTATCTCCCTCCAAATCAGAAAAATGCTTAAATCAAGATTAACAAATGAAATTTGGAAGCCTTACATTTAAGTTTTAAAAATTCATTCCAGAAAAAACAGGGCTAGGAAGACTCTGTTTAACAACAATCCATGTAAGGGAAAAGTTGCTACTAGCCCATACTATAAGTAACAATTTAAAACTGTTAATAATTAAGTTTTAAAATATATAATAATAGCATCTAGCTACTATTTAAAAATAATAATGCTGAGTACAATTCTAGACACCAAGTATAATGACAATGAGCAGTGCTACAGCTTGTGTCTAGATGTTCCCCCAAAGCCTTATGTGGTCATAGGTGGGGTTTCAAGGTCATGGCTGGATCTACAGCATGTGATGCTGGAACTAAGACTGCAATGATAGGATTAAGGGTGCCCCACCTGGGCTATGATTGCTACCTACCTTAAGAACGGGTAGTGTGGATAGAATATAAGGGACAGAAAGAGAGTTGCTACTGTCATTTGCTACTTGCTGCTTCACTGGGGGCTGCCTGTCCTGCTTTGCCATGGAGTGTTTCTCCTCTGTGATGCCCTTCTGCCATGGCACCCTGCCTTGGAGCCTGCTGATTAAACAGTGAAACCTCTACAAATGGTAAGCCAAAATAAACCTTTCCTCCTTTAAGTTTGGGTGTTGGGTATTTTGTCTCAACAACCAGAAAAGTAAGACAAGCTACCCTGCTATTGATCTTGGTTTTTTTCCTCATTTAGTACACTCTTTAAAATAAAATAAAAATTTAAAAAAAACATGGTTGAATTACATTAGCAAAGAAAGTAAGTAAACTGGGATTATTTATGCTGCAAAAGAAAAAGGAATGTTCAGAGTGTGTGAAGAAGAGAAAGGTTCACAAAGGACTTGACAGTAGTCTTCAGTTGTTTAAAGGGGTCACTCATGAACTGGGGCTGTAGCTCAGCTCAATAATATAGCACTTATTTTACATGTGTGGGACCCCCAGCACTGCAAAATTTAACAAAGGGGTTATTTGTCTGGAAAAGGTGTTAGACACAAAAGGTACAATATATATTGTGAAAGGGAAAGAATTTGCTCAAAACAAAAGAACAACTAGGATGGGGAAAAGCAAAAAAGGAAGAAAAAAAATGTATATATATATGTACATGATAGCTAAGATAATTGTACTACTAATTTCTGTTAGTTCATTGAAAAGAACAGTTAATGCTTACACTGTTCAATAAATTTTGCATGACTATATCTGGTAATCTGAGCAACTATTTTGAAGATAACAATATGCAATATAATAACCATTGTTGATTCCCTATATCTTGTTTTGAATTGTGTATCCTTTTTGTTTTATTTTCTCTTTAAAATTAAAAAAAAAAAAGGAAACAGGGTGGGAACAGTAACAGCTTTGACATATAAAACCTGGATTCTCATCTTGGCTCCATCATCTGCTGTGTGTTATTTGATTCGAGGAGAGATATTAAGTTTCCTTATCTAGGAAATGAAATCTACCTTATAAATATATAAAAATTAAAAAAACCTTTATAGGCTGCCTGCTTTAATCTGACACACAATGTCAGCTCCCCTCCCTAGATTTTGCTGAATGATTTTGGAACAATGTTTTTAAAAGTGAGAGCTGCAACACATTAATGGGTCACAAAATTAGCTTCCTGAGTGGTAACTGGCAATTTTCCCCTAATGAAAAAGAATAGAAAACATTACAGTGTATCATTAATAATATCCAGACTTTTGTAAAACTTGTTTCAGTTACTCATACATATGTGTACTAGGTTCTAACATAAAATACTTTCGTTTTATGAATCTGCCCTCCACCCCCAGAGTAAGAAAGTCAAAGCTGTAGACCACTACTCTTAAATGTATTCTATAAGAACTAACTAGTTCCTTTCCAGCTCAATTAAGTTCAGCAAACAGCAAGGCATGGTAGCACACAACTATAATCCCAGCACTGGGAAGGTTGAGATAGGAGGATTGCAGCAAGTTCCAGGCCAGGCGTGGCTGCACAGTGAGACCATGTCTCAAAAAACAAAAGTTTAGGAAACAAACTATAACCCTTAGAGATTTATTATGTTTGATATACACTTGCATCTCCAAGAAGTCCAGTATTAAAGAAATGTTTAATTTTTTTGTTAAACCGTTCCCCTCACATTTATCTGACCCCAGAATCTATTTTTCGCCATGGGGTCTATTGGAACCTTCAGGACTATCATTCTGTGGTACATACATTTTAGGGGAAACTATTCCTTTGGATGAAAAAGAGGTGTAATGGTTACAAGTCATGGAAGATTTTTGGCTTGCTAAGAAAGAAAAAACTCTTGACTCATGAAATCTGCCACTGACATCTACTCTCTCCAAAGAACTTTAAATATGATTTACCCAACTTTTAATTCACACATTTTCAGAAAAAGCATAGAACATCTACAATATCAAGACATAAAGCCAGATCAAAGCAGTAAGCAGCAACCATCTGGTTGAAAGAAACTCCTGACAGAGTGTCTAAATTGATTTACCTTAACAAATATGCTCAGAAACTAAAAAAGCCAAAGACTTAATTAGCTTCTTCAAGTGGGGTCAATGTGTTCTAATAATACATAATCTAAAATGGGCTGGTGAGTGCAGCTAGTCTTTATTATTATGAGTATCATTATCACCAGTACTTGGAAGAGGCACATGTGGATATGTGGATGATTCAAGGTTCTTTTAAAGCGCACACATACCCAGAATTCCTATGGGAGGACGTGATTTCACACTTATATGAAAACCTGTCACTACCATAGTTCTAATAACACTTGATCAAAAAATAAAGGCCTGACATCATATATTCACCAGTACTGCCATCACTCACACTTTCCTAACTAGGGAGTTACAAATACTTCTTGAGTTGTCACAGCACAAAATGTTCTACCCATTTTTCCCTACTCCTAGATTCCCAATTTTTCCCCATTCCCAGACTCCAAGCCACCTTCTCCTTAGAGTTTGTCCCAGCTGCTTTGGGCCATTATTTTTTTCTGAGTTTCTGAGCACTGCCAGTACTTTTAGTTAGTCCTATCATACTTCCAGCAATTCACTGTATACATCCTACCTTACTCAACTGTGTAAAACTTAGATCTTAACATAACCATAACTGCCTTGTGAACAGATATCTACATTTAAGCATGTCCCCTGACAGCGTGTAAGAGCTCACTAAGTACGTCTTGATTTAAACAACTAGGCTTAAGGGTAACAGCAGCCAGTTTTGAAAAATGTTTTATAGGCCACACAGCCTGCTAAAAGTATATACAGATGATCTCAATCTTTACAATTTTACACAGGTAAGAAATATACATTTCTTCATCAAATAAAGGAAAAAAGTGAAGCTTAAAATAAATGAGTGGCAAAGAAAGGGTCTGAATCCAAGCAAAGCTCAGAATTTCTAAATTCCAGCCCTCCAATACCAATCTGCGAAGAATTTCTATTTCACTAAGTTAAAAGGTTCTGCTCCAACAAAGAACAGAAACAATTTAGCTAATGTCAGAACTTTTAAAAAGATACATTAAGAGAAAGAGCATTTCATACAGCCATCTTTAAGTCTCCCATGCCCCTACTTATGAAAGTGGTACTAAGGTGTGGGTCACAATTTCATCAAAAAGTCGTATATTTCAATACAGCTCTGGTTTAGGTTTTTGAATAGGGGTCTTTTTCTTTCCACTGAAGGATGACAGGGTAATGAAAGATGGTTTTGATAACTATAGCTCCAAAGCTCTAAAAACACCAGATCCAATTCATGTTTAAAAAATGAAGACCAGGGTTCTAGTTCCACCCACGACTCTTCACACAAAGCACCAGCATTCTCTGCCCTCTTCACACAAAGCAAGCTCTACTCTCTACCCAAAGGGGACAGCGGATTCACACAGCCTCCCCGTCCTCACCAGAAACACACCCATCTCGTTCCGGTCCAAAACACTGACCATTACATCCACAACTCTTGAATGCCCCCACCCCACCCTGCACCTGGCGATACCTCGTCAAGCAGACCTCTCCCGACACCCAAAATGCCCAGGTCACCCTCCGAAAGCCAGTGTTTCACACAAAGCAGAATCACTTCCTACAGTGCAGTTTCCCATCTCTGACTCCTCCGAACATGAAGACCTTTCTCAAGCTGTGCCAACCCACAAATCCAAGCAAGTCCCGCATCCAGACAGTCCCCGACCCCAACGAGAACTAGCTACACCCCCTTACCCTCATGCACGCCTCGAACCCCCCAGTTCCAGCTGACCTTTCGGGGACCAAAGCAAGAAACCCACTAGTGCCCGCAGAGAGCCGATCCTGCTACACAAAAGCCCGCCGTCCTACCCGGGGACCCTCGCGGGTCGCCCCGCGCCAGCCCGTCCCCGCCCAGCCCGGCCGGCGCCCCGCGCTCACCAGCTCTCCGCTGCCTCCTCCCAGCCTGACAGGCGCTCCAGCTCGTCGGGCCGCAGCGGCTCCACCTCGTCCAGCATTCCGCCCTCGCCAGCCGCCAGCAAGGAGGTGGCGTCCCGCAGCTCCTCGCCGCTCGTCCGCCTCGGGCCCGACCCGGCCCCGCCGCCCGCCCTGGCGCTGAGGCCCAAAGGGAAGCCGCGCGGGGACGCCGCGCCGGAGGACGGGGTGGACGTGGCCCGCACCGGGCTGCCAGGCCCGAGGGAGCCCGCGCCCTGCACGGCCCCCGAGCGGCTCCTCAGCTGCTCGTTCTGCTTCTCCAGCTTCTTTACCAGCTCCTGCAGCTTCCGCACCTCCTGGTCCGCGTTCACGTTGGAGTTAACGTCCTCCATCGCGGCCCCACGGCCCGCCGCCGGCTCGGACGCAGCGACAGGGACGGGCTGGACGAAAGTGGCGCCGCCGCCGCCGCTCACTGCCGCCGAGGCGCCGTCATAGAGCGGGGCCAGGCCCCACCGCCAGGAGGCCCCGAGATCGGGTTCCGAAGCGCCGCTGGCCCCAGCCGAGCCGCCTCATCTGCGCCGGCTCCCGGATTGGGGGAGGCGGCGCCAACATCCGGCCGACGCCGCCATCTTCCTCCGTCCCTCCGCCCCCCGCAGCTCGGCCCCGCCGGTGACCTCAGAGCGTCGGGGTGGATGTGACCGCCCGCGAACGCTGAAAGGACCGAGCGCGGAGCTCCCGGCCGGGGAGTGGGCGGGGCCGGGTGCAGGCGAGGGGAGGGGCCTCGGCCGGAAGGGGCGGGGCGGGAGCGCCGGCTGAGTTGGGGCCGCGCGGGACCGGCCGTGGAGTTGTACTCCCGCCTCCCCGGGTCCAGATTTTAGAGGAGAGGTTTGGGGCTAGTGGAGCGGAGAGGCGAATCCGAATCCAGCTCGGCCCTGCTAGTAGGTGTTAGGTGACGGGCGTGTCGCGTGCTCTTCAGCCCCAAACAAGGCTTTTGGCACTCAGGCTGGGCCGTCCTGCCGTCACTCGGGTCTGGTTGTGGGTGGACGCGCCTACTCTTCAGCAAGTGCTGTGTTTAGTTGTTTACTTGAAAGCGGAGATTGTTAGCGCTGGCAGAGCCTGAGAGACCCATCTATGCCCCGTGTCTTCCCCTGAATATGAGAAGCCCAAACCCCAAACTGTTAATCTCTTAAACGGTTAACTTCTCAATCTACGATCAAAATAATAACCATAATTTACTTACTACTGGCTAGACACTGTACTAAGCATTTCAGGGCATTATCTCATCGGTTAAAGAACAGTTTTTCTGACTTAAAGTTTGCCGCGCAGTGGCTGGAAGCCGGGCGTACATAACCGGTTGTCTCTTTGCCTTTCAACCTTAATTGATGCGCCTACTGCTCATTGGATCATTTTCTGCGCAAAAACTTTTTCATCGTGTGTCTTGACTTTTTCAAAAGTTATGAACTAAAAGGACTTGAACATGTTGACAGATAACGTAAAATATTGAGAGGTGTATGAATGCAAAACTGTGTTCGTGGTGCCGGATTCTAAGGCATACTGGTAGCAGCAAAACCAAGCTCAGAGGTTTGGTTTCAGTCAGTCACGTTCTCCTACTCCTCAGAAGTGAGCAGGAAACTCCTTGGCTTGGTTTTGCAGGTTTGCTCCAATTGCCTCCTCCGCTCTTACCCAACTGTAATCCGGTCCTACGACACCTGGGTGTGGACTCCTTCGGCAGTATTTATTTACTTCTTTTGGTCCTTCCTGCGCTGTATGTTCCTGTGTAGAATATCCAATCTGCCAGTAGTTCTTAAAAACTACGTTCGTCCAGGAAACTGCTTCCTAACACTTGCTCAAAGAACTAGTTATTCTGCTTATTCTGGCATTATCTGATCAATAGGGCTCTACAGATGTTTGCATTTTTTTAAAAAATTATTTTTTTCTAGGAACTCATTCATTTATTTTTGTTCATGTCAAATTAAAAGGAACCATTCAGTTTTGCTTGCTATGTCTGGTACAGTGGACATTCAATACCTGGTTTGTTGAAAGCTGAAGAGAATGTAAATTCTGAAAGATTAAGAAGTAGATATTTATTCATAGAAAAAACACTATAGTATATTAAAATTTACTATCTAGTATTTTTCTAGCTATGCAGACCCAGTAAAAGGATGTCTTTGTTTTGCTAACATGCAATAATTGTGAGGTAATATGTGTTATCAATACAGTGGACATCCAGATGTCATTTCTAACATATCTGAACTTGTTGCCTAGAGGATTAAACAACATAACTACTTCACATATATCAGTTTTCACTTGCATTTTATGGCATGAAATATGAATTCCAACTAGCTAGTTTCTATAAGGAAAACCTTTCAAATATCTTTCTTCAAAAGAATATTACACTCAACATTACAAAGTTAGCTCTAATATTCTATGACTCGAGAAGTGTAGTGTGGAACAATGAACTACAGATCAGAAAGCCTGACGGATACTAGCTGCACCATAAATGTAGTGTTTTACCTTGATCTCCAGTCCATTATCTCTGGCTCTTACCTTTATGCAAGAGTACATGAATTGAATGATCTCCATTATTTCATCCAGTTCCAAAAAGTAAAGAAAATCTGATTCATCATCATGGTTACAAAACAGAAATGCAAATACAGACATACAGAGAAGTTCAAAGTAGATGAACTTGGATTTTTTTATCCAGTTGCCTTACTCTATATTATTAACTTTTTACACAATAAACATTGAGTGTCTACTATATTGTAGGCACTATTGTAGGCACTTGGATGTCTTATAGGCTCCTTAAGTTAAAAATTGAATTTGCAGCTCCTACAGATGTGTACATACTACTCACACATGTCCTTGAATATACTCACCCTTAACACATAAATTGGTAAATGACAGCCCTTTTCTTTGAGATGCTCAAGCTTAAAACTTGGGATAATCCTTATCCCTCTCTTTCTTTTTGAGGCAGAGTCTGCTATGTATTTCAGGCTGGCCATGAGCTCATTCTGTAGCCCAGGCTGACCTCAAGATCTCAGTGTTCTTTCTGCCTCAGCCTCCCCAGTGCTAGGATTGGAGTGTGCCACCATGCCCAGCTGTGCCTCTCTTTCCTTCACCAAATCCATTCCTTGAGCAAGCCATGTTGGCTGCATATTCAAAACATGTCTGAAAACTTTCCAGCACCTTGCTGCTATCACTCTAGTTCAAGTTGTCATCTTCTCTTGTCTAGATCACTGTGGAACTCTTAATGGTCTCTTCCACTTGGCTATTCACTATCTACTGTATATAGAGCAACCAGATTATCCTTCGTATGAGGAACTTCAGGTTGCTCCCCTGCTCAAAAGCCTCCCCAGAAGTTACTTCCAAACATACTTCACATCCACTGTCCTTTTCTTGGCTGTAAGGCTCTGGTCACATGGTAACTTTTGCAAGTGCAGTATGTCATTGGCTATGACTCTTGCACTCCCTCACCCTATGCCTGCCACGCTGGCTTTCTTGATGTTCATCAAACAAGCCAAGCAGGTTTCTACTTCAGGAATTTTGCCCTTGCTGTTGTGTGGACTGGTTATTGCTCCATGCTGTCACAAGAATGACTGCTCAAATATCTCCTAGGTTTATTATTCTCATGATTAGTATCTTCATAAAATAGCATCCCTCTCATTGTCCACTTTATCCTTTTTCATTTTTTCTTAGACATATTTTTCCTTTTTGTTTATTGCATGTGTCACCCCAGGGAGAATGTGAATTGCACAACAACAGGGCTCACTGCTGCATCCCCTGTGCCTGCAACAGTACCTAGTACATAGTAGGTGCCTCATAATTGTTTGCAAAACGAATGGATTTAGGTCAAGTGAAGTCTCCTAAAATAGTATTTTAGATCAATCTGTTGATTATGTGTCAGATCATGAAAATGAAGATTCCTAGTCATTTTAAATGATTGGTTTTTAAAGTTATGTTTTCCTCTTCTAAAAGAGCAACATTCCACGTTGCATCTATCATCCTCAAAACTAGGTCATGCTCCAACTCCTGAGTGCCAACAACCCTTAAAAATTGCTGAGAAAATAGTCTCAGATTCTCACTGAGAAGGATGAAGAATGTTTCATTCCTTTCTGAGACCTGCAAGGGTCTTCTCTTTCAGGTGAATTACAATACTTTGCCTTCTCTGGTGACTCAGAAGTGTAAGCGCATACATTAAAAAGTCACTTTTAGCAAGTCTCTTAGATAGATATAAGGAATAGAGTTAATAAGTATCTGAACTGTGCATCAGAGTGAGCCCAGCTAACTTTTAGGTGTCCTCTTTTATGGTATGCATGCTTGGTTGATGATGTAGGAATTGCTTCTTTTCTAAACAGGTGTGGCCCTTTCTGTAACATGCTTCTACTTGCATATTAGCTTAGTAAAACTCCTGACAAAGTGGAAAATATTACAAACTACTCAAAGTATTTAGAGTGAAAACTATTACTCAATGGCATAAAGGCATTTATAAGTCCTGAAATCCCAAAAGTTACTAAGCAATGGCAATTTTCCCCAGAAATATTAATATTTGAGCCAAGGGATTCACACAAGGGCTCAACTTTGGATTGAAAACTTTTCCAGTCTGTATCAGTCCAATTATGGGAAAGCTCAAAACTGACCATGATAGAGGGTATCACTTCCTTGTGGAGGCCTTTTAGCCAGAGAGTAGTCTCCTACTGTTGGGTCATCATAGTATATTGATGGAGGTGTGAGAAGCCCATGATCAAAGCAGCGGTAAACATGTTCTCAAATACTTAGGAGGCTGCTGTCCTAGCTCAAAAGGAAACAATACCTTATTTCTCACTCCTTCCTCCTTTGAGGGTAGCATATGGGAAAATAGGATTGTGAAATAACATTTTTATTTCTTCTTTAAGTAGTATTTCAAAAGGACAGAAAAAGCGGAAAAGTGTAGTATGAGCCACTTCTGAATGTCCTTGATATTCTACACTAAATTAAATTAAGCTTTAAGATCCTTATATAATATTCTTCTAGCTAGAAATTTGTAGCAAATTCCATTTCTGAGTCTGTGGGATACTCCTATAGTATTATAAGACTGAAAAGCATCATCAGCTACTCAGTTTACCTATACATGTATAGAAAGTTACTTTTTGTGTGTGTAGTCCTGGGGATTGAACTCAGGTCTTATGCATGCTGAGCAAGAATTCTACCTCTGAGCTAAACTTCAGCCCTATAGAAAGTTTCTTTGTGTTCATGATTCTTGTTATGTAGGCAAATTCATATGGGCTCTGGAAATTTAATTCTGTAAATATCTAAATCTTTCTGTGTTGACCCACTAATAATAATATCAATAACTGACAATTGTTCATCACTTTTGTGACATTCATCTAAAATCCACAATAGCCCTTGGAAGTAGCTGCTTATCATCGTGTCCATTTTACAAATGAGGAAATGAGCCAGGCCTGGTGGCACACGCTTGTAGTCCCAGCACTCGGGAGGCTGAGGCAGGA